GAAACAATTTGTTCGTTTGGTCGTTAGATTCATTTCAGGAGTGTGAAGATCTGTCCGTGAATCTCAGAGACTCTGTGCCCAAGTCTTTTGCTGCATTTTCAAAAGGCAACTGGATTTTGTTTTTCCTTGGGAGATGTTTTTCCAAGGGGAGAAAAGGGGAGGGGGCTTTTGCAGGAAGGAATTTGTTCACTCGGTCGTTAGATTCGTTTCAGGAGTGTGAAGATCTGTCCGTGAACCTCAGAGACTCTGTGCCCAAGTCTTTCCTTGTACAGCACCTCATTTGGAAAATATTTACATGGCAGATTTCCAAGTTACAGTAGATAAGGTCTGTGGTTGTAAATACTCCTTTGAAAGACTGTTAGCCAAGCCTTTACTGAATGTGAAGGAGAGGAATTCACATTCGTTTAATCAAAGGGGTTTTGTCGGGACCAGGACTCTGCCTCGGGCTTACAATCATCTTCTATCCTCCACCATTCAATCAGAACTGAAGAAGCTCCTTGGGTGCGAAGCGAAACATCTTGAAGAAGTCCAGTTGCCTTGTAAGAAAAAGCACCTGGATGATGGGGAATCTCCACAGACAAATGCTTAACGTTGGCAAATATGTTTGTGTTTCTTTTTCTTAAAAAAAAACCAAAAACCAATAACTAATTGACCCCAGATACAGATTCTGAGGAAGAGGAGGAATCCCTGAAGGATGAGTGGTCTTCTCATTCCGCGACCGGAGCCAGGATGAGACCTTCCGGCCTCTATAGTGTAATGGCCCCTAAATGCAGCAGGATCTCCGACATCTTCAAAGCCAGAAAGAAGACCGTCCCCTCCACTAGGACTCTCAAATCTAAACTGGCTGCAAATAGAAAGCAGGAATTTTGTTTGTTCTCCCGAGAGATCAAAGCGGGATCATCATACAGTGATTCTTCGGAGGAATCATTCGATCAAGGTTACTAGCTTATAACACAAAAACCCAACCCCCCCCCCGAATGTCTAGGTTTGAGTGAGTGGGAAGGAGGAAAAGGAAGGGAGGTGGGTGGTTGATTGGCCACTTGGAATGGCCCTAGTGAATGGTCAACTCGTTGGTGCCATAGAAGACTTTTTTGGGGGTAGCTTATGATGGATGACTAGTCTCACCTACGCCAACAAAACTGCTCAGGTCACACACTTATTTTGTTCCTGATCAGCTCTCTCTCGAGAGCGTTCCAGTCTCTTTTTTCCGCACACTTTTTCTACCCTGTTTCCCCCCAAAATAAGACCTCCCTGGATAATAAGCCCAATCGGGCTTTTGAGCTCATGCGCTAAAACATTGAAAATATTGCAGCCACAAGGTGACCACGCTCGCCGTCTCCCACACCTCAAAAATAATCAGACCTCCCCCCAAAAGAAGGCCAAATGCAAATTTCCGAGGTCGAAAGACAATAAGACCCTGTCTTATTTTGGGGGAAACACGGTATTTCTTTTCTTTTTAAAAAAGAGAAACGTCATTTCTTGTTGCCATCGCTGTTGTTATATGTGGCTTATTTTTCTTTTTTTTTTCCCTATCCAAATTTGCTTTTGGCATGTGTTAGAGGGCACGGGAGAGGAACTGTGTAAATTAGAATATCTGTTGTGTGGGTGTGCCCCTTTTCCCCCCCACCCCTTCAACCCCCACCCCCCAACCCGCTGAGATGTTTGTACTACGATTTTTTG